TTTGGTAAGCCAAACTTTGACTGATGACAAAGCCCCTACATCATTGCCAATTAGTAGAATATCATCAACATATAGCAGTAGAAAAACCACTTTTCCATCTTGAATATGCTTATAAACACAAGGTTCATCCATATTCTGTTGGAATCCAAAAGTCTTAACCACTTGGTCAAATCTTTTGTTCTAAGAACGGGAAGCTTGCTTTAATCCATAAATGAATTTCAGCAACTTGCAAACTTTTCCCTCTTGACCCTTAGCCCCAAAGCCTTCTAGTTGTACAATATAGATACTTTCATCAAGATGGTCGTTCAAGAACGCCGTCTTGACATCCATTTGCCAGATCTCGTAGTCAAGAGCAGCCACAATGGATAAGAGAATGCGGATGGACTTAAGAATGGCTACAGGCGAAAAGGTTTCCTCGTAGTCGATTCCCTCCTTTTACGTGTATCCCTTAGCTACCAGTCTAGCCTTATAGGTTTTGACATTTCCTTCTGCATTTCTCTTTCTCCTGTAGACCCATTTACATCCAATGGGCTTAATCCCATTAGGAAGATCTACAAGTTCCCAGACTAGATTAAAATCCATAGATTTCATATCAGCTTTCATGGCTTCTGTCCAGAGGTTTACATCAACATCCTCCATAGCTTCTTTGTAAGTATATGGATCTCTGTCATGTTCCAGAGATTCTGCCAAAAAGGTTTCCCTAGTAGCCATGAATCTCTCAGGTTCATGTCTGATCCTCCCACTACGCCGAAGCCCCTTAGGTTGTTGATGGGTTTCCTTTTCTACTCTGATTGGACCGGTTTCTAAAGGAACAGTTAGTATGACCAACTCACTCGACATTTCCTCAAGCACCATTTTGCTATGAGGCTTAAAGTTGTTCATGTAACTTTCCTCAAGGAATGTTGCATTCGTTGAAACCACGACTTTATTTTCCTTGGGATTATAGAAATAACCCCCTTTCGTCCCTCTCGGATAACCTACAAAAATGCATACTTCTGAACGTGCTTCCAACTTGTTCACTTTCTTGTCCAGGACATGTGCAGGACATCCCCATATGCGAATATGGTTCAAAGATGTCTTCTTGCCCGTCCACAACTCGTGAGGAGTTTTAGGAACCAACTTTGTTGACACGTTATTTAGAAGATAACATGCAGTTTCTAAAGCATATCCCCAGAAAGGTATAAGCAATGTCGAATAACTCATCATGGACCGTACCATATCCAACAAGGTCCTATTTCTTCTCTCAGCTACACCATTCTGTTGTGGAGTGCCAGATGCAGTTAAATGGGATAGAATCCCATTCTCTAATAAGTATCCAGTGAACTCATCATAGAGGTATTTTCCACCTCGATCGGATCGAAGTGCCTTTATGGGTTTACCCAGTTGCTTTTCCACCTCAGCCTGAAACTCCTTGAATTTATCAAAAGTTTCACTTTTGTGGCGTAATAGGTACACATAACCATATCTTGAGTAATCATCGATAAAAGTGACGTAATACTTATACCCTCCTCTTGCCTTGATGTTCATGGGACCACAAACATCACTATGCACAAGTTCAAGAACATCTTCAGCCGTATTGCCCTTAGACCCAAATGGTTTTTGGTCATTTTGCCCTCCAAACAAGATTCACATTGGGGTAAGGACTCAACCTTTAAAGAAGTTAAAGGTCCATCATTTACCAACCTCTGTATCCTGTTAAGGCTAATGTGACCAAGTCACAAATGCCAAAGATATGTCTCATTAGAGAAGTTTGAAGCCTTTTAGAGTTATTAACAACTTCAGTGTTTAGCAGTGAGTCCATCTTAGGTTTGATAAAATATAGATTATTTTGCATCCATCCATCACAAATAAAAGACTTATTTTTACGAATCACAACTTTATTATTAAAAGAAACTAAATAAGAATCCTTAAATAAACAAGCAACAGAAATAAGATTTCTCTTAAATTGAGGAACATAAAAACAGTCTCGCAAAAATAAACTCCTATAACTATCAAAATAAAGATGGACGTCTCCTACTGCTTCAGCTAACACTAGTGTTCCATCGCCCATCCTCAACGTGAAGCTCTTATTTAGAAGACTTCTCGTTTGCTTGAACCCCTGCAGAAAAACACACACATGATTAGTTGCTCCAGAATCTATGACCTAGTTGTCACTGGATTCCTCAACCAGATATGCTTCCACAATCAAAAGATCACACTCACCTCCTTTGCCTTTAGTGGCTAGGTAGTATTTGCAATTCTTCTTCATGTGCCCCACCTTCCAGCAATGAAAGCACTTAAGCTTGTTCGGGTTCTTCTTCTTCTTGTTCTTATCCTTGTTTGGCGGAATTGAAGAACTCTCCTTCTTAGCTACTTGCTTCTTCTTTCCATTCCCTGGAGAGGGTTTGGAGGAAGATACCTCAGCAAAGTTGGCCTCCATAATAGTCGACCCCTTGATCATCCGCTCAAACTTTTGGAGTTCTTGCATCAACTCTGTCAGGGTTATATTCTGTCTAGCGCTCAAATTGAACGTTGCCCTAAATGAAATATGCTCTTTCAACAAAGTCTCAAAGATCATGGTCAATTGAGACTCAGCATCGATGTCGGCCCCATTGGTCTGAACTTCAGCCAAATAGCCCAATTAAAAGAGTATTAATAAAAAATAAAAAATAAAAACTCATACTCATACTCTACGAATAAGTTCAACAATTTTCTCAACTTTTTTCATTATAATGTCTACGTTTTAAATTAAGTATATTTTTGCGATATTTAAGGATGAAACTTAATTATATCTTCCTTCTAACTTAGAAATAGAAAGGAATGAAAAGTCGTCAACTTTCCTCTTTATCATACCAAATACTCTTTCTTTACATTTCACTAGTTCTCTCATTATACATATACTAAAGGAAAGGAAAGATTTATTGTTTATGCTACAGTGCAATGAACAGTGTCTTTCCTGTTTTACCCTTTGTTATTCCTTCATTTGATTTTTTATTTTTCGGTTTTACCCTCTTGATTAATGACGCCACCACATGTTAATTCAATATCTTGACCTTGAAGATGGTCCAACACGTGTGTCTATTGTTTGCCCATCTCTCTCTTGCTTACCTTTCTAATTGTTGACGTGGGTCCAATATTTTTCCCAAGCTCAGTGAGTGCCCATCTTCTTATGTGGTCCATTTGTTTCCTTTGGTTGTGTATAGCTACCTGGATCTTGCTGTAAATAGAGGGATTAAAAATATTTACAAATTTTGGCCCTGTTTATTTCGCCGATTTGAGTTTAAAATTCGAGTTTTGTTACAGTAAAAAACTCTCAGAAATAGTCACATCTAACTTTTTTGCTACAGTAAAAAACTCTCACACAAAATCACATCTAAACTCGAATCAGCGAAGTGAACGGGCCCTTTGATTTATCTGATTTTATATTTTGCACAATACAAAATAGAGAGAGAATAGAATAGTGACTATGCATCAATGGATTCACAAAGGCAAGACAAATTTATTAATTTATATCATATATGTCTAAAAAAATTTTTATTGTTTTAAATACATATCAATTTTTTTTTTTCATTTCAGTCCTTAACCAACACCATCATCACAGATATCAGACTCAACCACAATTAATCTACATATGCCAATCATAAAAAGATCAAGCACAAGATAAAACATGTTAAATATAAAAAATAATTTTTACTATTTTAAATACATATTTAAATAATATTCCACAATATCAACTCTGAATCAAAAACAACATAACATTTTAAAAAGCGTATAAGGACAAAGTAATATATTTTTTTCTATATCATTTAATTTACACTATGTATGATAAAAGTTTGTCAATTTCTTTAAAAATTATATTCACTAATTTTTATTTTTTAACATTCCTATCTTGCTTTAAAAAAAAAACAGTAAGGATTGAAACAACTTCAATATTTTATATTGTATATGTGTTTGTATATATGTATGAATATATTTTGAATAACATATATGTATATATATATATATATATATGTAAATATGTATATAAAAATCTTAAATATTTCATATATTACAACAATATATTCCGCAGCAACGCACGGAATATAAGCTCGTACTTATCTAGGGCCGACAATCCGAGTAACGACACGACGATACAACTCGAAATCCGCACAAAATTAGTGAGTTTGGGTTTATCATAAATAGGTACGGGTCAAAATCAGGTCGGATCCGTGAAACACGATTAAATAACGTGTCATTTTCATGTTAACCCGCCAACCCGCAATTGACCCGCCATAACCCGTTTATTAAACATGTCATATTTGGGTAACACCAATACACAACCCATTTATTACCCGTTTTATAAACATGTTCAAAAATAGGTTAACATGACTCATTTATTACCTATTTTATAAATAGGTTCAAAAATAGGTTTAGAAATAGATTAACACGACCCATTTATCACTCATTTTATAAACGGATTGATAGGTAATCAACGGGTTGACACGATACGTTTATAACCTGTTTAATAAATGGGTTATTCGTGTCATATCATGTCAACCTACCAATATACAAATTGTGTTCAGATTTGATATTTTGACACGATTAATAAATAAATTATGTTTATATCAAACTTATTCGTGTCAATTAAATGAGTCGACACACAAACACGATCTGCCAACCGAATTACCACCCCTATACTTATCCATCTTTTTACACTTCCCTCTCTCCTTGTCAACGAACCCTGAAAAAGCTGATTAAAGAAAAGAAAAAGACCCTGAAACACACGTTAACGAGTTACAATTACGGTGGCTAAGGTGATTCACCATGGACTGAGGACACGTGTCGATCTTGAAGCGTTTACAGCGTTATTTTGACTGCAGAATCGATCCGCTTGTCGTCACAACATAGCTCCTCTCCCCCACGTAAGCCAAGTAAATACCATGACGTGTCGTTTGCTCCTCTCTTCTGCTTTTAACTCGGCTCCAACATTTACCTCTGTATATATATGTTATGACCGAACTTCACTACATATGTCACCTCTATATACATTTCCAGTGCCATCAAAATATTTGAAAAAGACTACAAAAAGTTGTATTTGTGTTAGTACTCAAAAAGCTCTACTGAAACTAACTTTTCTCACGTAAACAAGTCAAGATCCGTTGGGGAGAGAATATGGCTTCGGATCAGGAAAGACGAGAACTGGACGAGAAGGCTAGACAAGGTGAGACTGTCGTCCCTGGTGGAACTGGTGGGAAAAGCCTCGAGGCTCAAGAGCACCTTGCTGAAGGTATATATGTACAGTTTAACGAGTAAGATGTATCATATATCTTATATGGCATAAAAAGCCAGTTTGTGTATTATTACTTTGTGTCTGTGTTGATTGAAAGGCCGGAGCCGAGGAGGCCGAAAGAGGGCCGAGCAGCTAGGCCATGAAGGGTACAAGGAGCTGGGCCACAAAGGAGGAGAGACCAGGAAGGAGCAGCTGGGCCATGCGGCGTACCAGGAGTTGGGCCACAAAGGTGGTGAGACGAGGAAGGAGCAGCTGGGCTATGAAGGGTACAAGGAGCTGGGCCACAAAGGAGGAGAGACCAGGAAGGAGCAGATAGGCCATGAGGGCTACAAGGAGATGGGCCGCAAAGGTGGGCTCAGCACCACGGACAAGTCTGGAGGAGAGAGAGCTGCGGAGGAAGGGATTGAGATTGACGAGTCCAAGTTTCGCACCAAGAACAAGTAATCAGTATTCAGTCGCGTAGGATCGAAAATGCAAGTAGTAGTTTTTTTTAACTTTTTTTTTTTTTTTTTTAAATTTTATGTTGGTCGTTTAGGTAGATGGTGGTGGTCGTATTTGACTAGGCTTTTTGTGATGTAGTCAACTCCTAGTATAGTTTCGTTTTAGGAGGTCGTTTAATCAGGTTGTCGATGTTTGGACAAGTCTTGGTAAAGCGGTTAAATCGTTGTTTGGGGTTTTCCTTTCAAAAATATCAGTGGTGTGTTTTTTTTTTTTTTTTTTTTTTTGTGCCTTCTTTTTTTTAACACTTTAGTGCTTTTTTCTTGGTTCATTTTGTTGTTTTTCACATTTTCACTTGAAAATGAAGGTGATCGGTTTGAGGGATATCATTCTAAAAACTTTTAAGTAGTTGTTATCAACGTAATAGACTAGGTAGAATATGCAAATATTTGCTGCTGCTAAGGATCTGATTTCAGACGGCAACTAAATAATTGGTTTGTTATTTGAGGGAGAAAGATATTATATAATATAGACACACATATATAAATATATATGTCACCGAAAATTTAGTAATTATTTTATTTCAACTAAAGTTTACTGTGTAACATATGATTTTTAACGAGCTCTCCTCTTCCATAACAGTTGGGAGTCTTTTCAGTGCCCTATGGGTTTAAAGGGTTGCAGAGGGGAAAAAAAAAAAAAAAAAAAAAAAAAAAAAATTGGACTAAAGAGGAAGAAACGAAACAAGTGAATTTTTGTTTGGATTCGCTAATGTCTCCAAAAACACATTGAAACCTCACTCTAAATTATACTTTTTCTGCAGAATTTTTTCAGCAACACTTTATTTTCTTAAAAAAAAAAATCCATAACTGACTCTAGGGTTCCCAATCAGAATGATACAATATAACAAAATAATAGTCATGACACAATATTGATCAACTTTCTGATCATACTTCAAAGCAAAAACTAGTCTACTAGTCATACTCCAAGCAATACCTTGGCATAATATGTACTTAGACTTGAAATTTGTTACCTTTCACTCAATTATTCTTAACTCAGTAACAAGGCTTTTAGTTCCCATGATATTTTGGAACTAATAACATACGTAGCACCTACTCTGAATTTTGTTCAAATAACTTGATAGAGTCATTGAAACTCTATTAACAACGTTCCTGTGGCTGAAAACTCTACATATTACACCTCGAAGAGTGGAGAGAGAATCTGTCAAATATCATCTCGAGAAGTAGAGTGACTTTTATTCTGTCCAAAACAGTTCTAATCCAATATAAAACCGCTAAATAAATTCACCAATTCTAACCTTTCACAAAATCAATAGGAGCGTCACATAAGCAGATGATTTTTCTTAGTTTTCTCATATAACATGAAGAACCTCAGAATCTAAAAACAGATTCATACCAACTCAAATAACTACTTATCTGTCTAAACCAAGAGTTTCACTCCCATTAAGGAATTAAAACATAGAATGACGTCTTACTAATTGACGTAAGTCCTTTTCAACCTCTGACTTCAAATGATATACTCTAATGCTCAAGTCATTCTTTAAGTCAAGGACGGAGCTAAAATTCTAGAATTTAGCACTCACAAGAAATTTATTTTTTTTTTTTATTTCTAACCATTTTTAGTTTTTTCCTTATAGTTACTAACAATTTTTTTAATGAAATAAATTATAAATACGCAAATCAAAGCTAATCTCTAAGATTAAGAAGTAAAATTCACACATAATTAATCAACAAAAACTTATTCTGTTAGAATAGTATTAATTCAAAATCAAAACAAAACCTTTTATAAAAGCGTAGAAGAAAGAAAAGTGGATAACAAAAAAATATCAAATATTGTTTAAGATTATTCAACCAAAAAAATAGTGGCTATCTGAGAGATTAAGTAAGAAAATCAATTAAATAACTTAAAATAGTAGGATAGGTTTAAGAAAAAATAAATAAACAGGGTCACTTTTTATAGAAAATATATTTTAATGGGAGCACATTTATAAACTAATATTAAATTATAGGTAAAAATTAAATAGATAAAAAAGTTAGGTACTCCGTCCATGCTTTAACTCTGCCACTAGAGATCATGTTAATTTTTCAGTACTCTGTACTACATACTCAACTTTGTATCTGTAACGACACATGTCCCAAATCATCAAAAATATGTAGAAACAAAAACAAAAATGTATCCGTGAAAAACATGCACAAGTTTAGTTCAGTGAAATCTAAAACCGTACTCTAATGTCACTCTGTCACGCCCCGAAAACAGGGAACGTGACTAATGAAAATCAAACGTAAAATAAATCGGATTTATTGATCTAAATTGTTTTTGTCGACCCGAAAATAACATCACAACATACCGGAATGTTGATGGGCATATAGGATCAAGTTGAGTTGTATCGTCTCAAAATCAAAGACGTTGAGTAACTTGTGAACTTTGAATAAATCAAGTGTAACTCATTTGGTTTTTTGAATTGTCGTGCCAAAATTAGAAGTTATCGATAACAATATTAGAATTACTATCATACTTTCTACTATTGTGTATTGTTCTCTCTCCTATGTTATATTGGCATCATCGCATGCATAAGTGGAGCTCCTTTAGCTAGTCTCGCAATGACATGATGGGAACACGTAAGCTTGGGAATTCAGTATATAACAACAGAACCAAACACGGTGCACTGAAGACATGAAACTTGATAGAATAAAAGGCCATGGCGTCTTGTAAAAAACTAGGGTGAAAAATTCAAGGTGGGTAATCAGTAAGCAAATTGTTTCCTAATTTACAACAGGTACATATGTTTAAGGTTCAGATACAAACAGAAAAAAGAAAATCCTCAAATAGGAACGAACAAAATTTCCCCAAAAGAGGAGAGAGAGAGAGAGAGTACAACATGTTTTAGCAGTAGTTATTTTGCACCAGCTCTAAAGCTTCCTCTGCCATTGTGTCGCGTCTCTCCTCCAAAGGCCACCGAGTAATTGCAACCCAAAATCTCAATGGCTGGTTGCTAAAGCAGTCACTAATAGACCAAGCACGAGAAATGGCTGTGCACTAGCCTGAAACATAGGAAAACCAAGGTTATGCAAAACAGGTAATGAATTGCACTCTCTTCAGTGATGGAAATATAAATCCCCAGATTAACTGGACATTAAGAATGCCTTCCTAAATGGAGATTTAGAAGAGGAAGTGTACATGGAAGCTCCTCCGGGATTTATTGAAAGCTTTGGGAAAAAATGTTGCAGGTTGTGGAAGTCTTTATATGGACTTAAACAATCCCCGAGGGCCTGTTTCGACAGATTTGCAACATTTGTAAAGACTCAAGGTTTCTTACAGGGGCAGGCTAATCATACATTGTTTATAAAGACTTCTGCAGAAGGTAGAATTGCAGTTTTGATTGTCTATGTAGACGACATTATCCTCACTGGTGATGATCTTGAGGAAATGGATAAACTGAAGAAGAGCCTCTCTACCGAATTTGATTTGTAAAGACTCAAGGTTTCTTACAGAGGCAAGCTGATCATACGTTGTTTATGAATACATCTGCAGAAGGTAGAATTGCAATTTTGATTGTCTATGTAGACGACATTATCCTCACTAGTGATGATCTTGAGGAAATGGATAAACTGAAGAAGAGCCTCTCTACCAAGTTTGAGATCAAAGATCTAGGACCGCTTAGATACTTCCTTGGAATGGAAATTGCTAGGTCTAAGAAAGGTATAGTAGTTTCCCAATGGAAGTATATCCTAGATCTGTTGGAAGAAACGGGAATGAATGGTTGTAAACCGTCAGACACTCCTATGGAATTTAACTCACAGCTTGGGGAGGTTAAGGAAGGAGTTCCTGTAGACACAGGTCGATATCAACGCCTGGTGGGAAAGTTAATCTATTTATCCCACACTCAACCAGACATTTCTTTTGCTGTCAGTATGGTGAGTCAATTTATGCATTCTCCCTATGAAGAACACTTGGAAACAGTTTACAGAATTTTAATATATTTAAAGGGAACTCCAGGGAAAGGATTACTTTTTAGGAAAAGTGATCAACAGAGGATTGAAGTCTACATTGATGCAAACTCGGCAGGGTCTGTGACTGACATGAGATCTACCTCTGGATATTGTACCTTCCTATGGGGAAATTTGGTAACCTGGAGAAGCAAAAAATAGAGTGTGGTGAATAGGAGTAGTGCAGAAGCGGAATATAGGGCAATGGCTCAAGGGATTTGTGAGATTCTTTGGTTAAAGAGAGTACTGGAAGAACTTAGTAGACCAGTGGAGTTTCCGATGAAGCTTTTTTGTGACAATAAAGCAACTATTAGCATTGCTAATAATCCAGTTCAATATGATCGGACAAAGCATGTGGAGATTCATACACTTTATAAAGGAGAAGCTTGAAAATGGAGTCATCTGTATACCTTTTTTGCCTACAACTCAGCAAATTGCCGATGTCTTCACCAAAGGGTTACTTAGGCAGAATTTTGAGTTCTTTGTAAGCAAGTTGGGCATGATCAATATCTATGCACCAACTTGAGGGGGGGTGTCGGTAAATTAGGAATGATTGGCTGTCCTATTGCTGTATGTGGAAAAATATAGAGTAATTATGTAGGAGGATTGTTAGCTGATTCAGAATAATTACCCTAAAGTCATGGGATTAGTTTAGGCAGTGTCCTTTTTTTGATTTGTTTCCTTATTTGTTTTATTTCCCTTTATTTGTTATCTTCTGGCTCATCTATATAAGGAGGTCAGTATGTATGAAGTTATTATGAATGAGAAATAAGAAGTTTCTTTTCTCTTCTCTAAAAGCCTACAGGATTGATGATGTGTCAATTCCTATAGGCTGAGGGACTTAAATTGTTTTATAAAGCCTATCAGGGGTTTAAGTATAAAAGGGGTTCTTTTGTGCTGAGATAGGATTAGTTCTTTTTCGTGTTGTTTAAGTCTTGTTCTCATAAAAATGTGTGAAAAAGAGATTTCTTAGTGAGTTGCGAGGTGTTGTAATCTTCTTTCAAAAGGCTCAGGAAAGTTGTAGTGATTCTCTCCCGAGGACGTACATCAATTGATCGAACCTCGTAAATGTCTGTGTCTAATCTTTCTATGTGTGATCAGTAATTTGTTTCTTGCAAATTCTTGAATTGGATTAGAACGAGTTTTTGAGTTTTGAAGACAGCCTCAAATCAATGATGACTGTTAAAATATGGAGGGAAACACATTTGTGCATGTGGTATGACATGCCCCCGTCATTATTCAAAACTCCAATATATGACCTTCTTAGTTCTTATGAGCTTACATGACATGCACTTGTGCACGTCCAAAATTTAATTGTCTTTATCAATTCAAGGGCATCTGTAACACTATAAAATGCGCTGGATAATTTGCCAAAACTAAGAATCTTGGTACAACTTGCCATTACGTATAATTCAGGGGATAAACATGCCAAAAACCCTTTAAAATAAATGTCCAAATGTTCAAAAAATACCTGATATTTGACATCGTACTTAACAGGGTCTTTAAGAAAGTACTTGAACTGCGGGGTAAAAAAGTTGGTGTTAGTAAACAGTCCGTGTTTTTCAAAAGTATTATATCTTCTACGAAACTAAGGCGTCCAACTAATGAAGTTCATCACGTATTACAAGTCTGAAGAAAATATAAGCATAAAATCATTTTTCCTAAGGAAAGAACCTCAATGATATCACAAAAGTTCTAAAATGTATTACCTGAAAAAATACTTGCGGCGCTATTAACGCAAGGAGAGCCAAGGCATATAAGGGTTTTCCAGCCCCAAGCAGATAACCTGCAAAATCATAATGTGACTTCACTCGTGTAAAAGAAAATAATAACCTACAAAATCATAATAATGAGACTTCACTCGTGTAAAAGCAAAAATTATTTTCTCCAAAATCAACCAAAGAAAACCTCAGTCGCTCATAAAACAAGCAATAATTCTGTCACCCAAATTACAAAATCCATCCTCAGCAGTTAATTTTTTTCTGATTAAAGTCAAAGGTTGACGAGGAGGATACAAAACGGGCAGGGGTTCAAGCACAAGTTCACCAACTCATCAATGACTTCAGTTGTGGAGATTCTGTCCAATACAGAAGGTGTGTTCTTAAAGATAATGAGAATCCAAGGAGGGGTGGTCAGGAATCTTTTCCTTTCGAACGATAGAGCCAGAACGGGTTGGATAACCTTGAAGGATAAACTCGACGTGATTCTGGGGAGGAGCTCAAACGGCGCTTGTTATTCAGGGACAAGAGGACGTAAGAAGACCTTTATGGGTGAAAACAGGAATATAGGGATGATAGACATGGGGAGGCCTCGACACAAGAAGGGGGAGGTACGTTATCAATATATTGGGCCTATAAGTGAAAAAGAGTTACTTCTCTTCTCTCCAATAAATTCGGAATTTTGGGATAAAATGAATTTTCAAAAGTGGAGAAGTCGTCTAATAACAATCGGGCCGAATCAGATATTGGGCCTATAAGTGATGGGCTCAGTGATAAGAACCAGCCCTGGTTCAATTCGAAGGTGGGCTTGGTCAAAGCATCCTCAGAACCAGCTAGGGTGGATTCAAATAGGGTGGTCAAGCTGTGGAGGCCCAAAAAGAAGTCAGATTTCATCGAGGCCAAGACTAAGGGATTGTTTGGTTAGGCGATTCATAATTCGAATAATAATTCATGATTTATTACAATATTTTTTTTCACAAAAAATACACATAAATTAAAAATGATTCTAATCTTATGATTCTAATCTATCTAATCTATGAATTAATCTGCTAACAAATTGGAGGAAAATCAGGCGAGTCCCAAAAAACCAGTTCTACATTATTCCAGCGACGGGGATTTGGAAAACCGCAGAATCAAACCTTTCCCTCTATTCTACAGACGAGCCAGGAAGTACCAGAAGAAACAATCGGATGTAAGAGAAGCGGATTTCATTCCAAATGCAGTGTGGGCTGACTTCGAAGGGGAAGAGATTGTTCCTCACGATGAGGATATCTCGGAAGATGATAGCAGTACGAGATCAGTTTCTCCGTTCTGCTCAACAGAAGAGAGCGATGGAACAGGTGAGAGGAAGGGCTTTTTGGGTCTTTAAGAGGTTAGACTGCTTATGGCGCCAGACTCGGAGGGACTAGCCGAAGTCAAGCAAGCGGGTAATAACTTGGAGCTTTGTTTTAATGCTCTAGTTCTGTCTCCATTAGCATCGGTGCCGCCAAGTGAGATGGAGGAGGAAGGCGGGCTATTGGAAGGGAGAAAAACAGAAATTGGTAGGATCAAAGGGGAACAAGAATCGGAAGGGGTTGAATCTTGCTCGGGAGGAGAAACAGGTTAATAGCGAGAGAGGAGCAGTTTAGTACACTGACAATCGGTCGGAGGAAGGAGAGTGGAGTGGAGTAAAATCCAGTCAATGCTTCAGAATATGCGGATCCAACTTTCAGTTTCAGAGAAAGTAAGTCAAGGCATCATTGAAGGGACTGCAAGGACAGCAAGAAGAAATGGCCAAAACCGTGAATTGAAGAATCTGGAGTTCAATATCCGCTATGATAAGGAGGATAATGGGGGTGTTGATAATAACAAATGAAGCTGATGACATGGAATATCAGAGGAGGAATTAAAATGAGGGGAGTTAGGGAAGTCGTAGGCAAAGAAAACCCTGATATTTTGATTCTTCAAGAAATTAAAAGAATGGAAGTAGATAGTAGATTTGTTGGTAGCATTTGGCAATCACGGTTCAAAGAATGGGAGTTGTTGCCGGCTGTGGGTTGTTCCGGTGGTGTGTTGGTAATTTGGGATGTTAGACTAATTAAAGTAGTTGAGAGTTTTTTGGGTGAGTTTTCGGTTACTGTTAAAGTTGAAGAAGAAGGGGAGGTCTGGTGGGTCACAAGTGTATATGGCCCCAATCATTACAATAAAAGAGAATTGTTTTGGGATAAGTTAGCAGGGATTTGGAGCTTATGTGGACAGAGATGGTGTGTATGTGGAGACTTCAACATTACTCGATCTTGTCAGAAAAGAGCCAGTAGAGTTACTAGGAGCATGAAGTTGTTTGATGAGCTCATTAAAGATTTGAGGCTGACGGATCCGCCTTTCATAATGCGAAATTTACATGGTCCAATTTTAGACATTCTCCGATATGTTGTAGATTGGACAGGGTTTTGCTCCCCCAAGGATGGATGGAGTTTTTTCCATTTGGGCACCAGGAAGCAACGGTTCGGACAATTTCAGATCATTGCCCCGTCCTTTACCATACAAAACCGCCAGCATGGGGTCCCTCTCCCTTTAGATTTGATAAAACCTGGCTCTAGAATAAGGAGTTAATAAAACATATAAAAGGGTGGTGGGAGGAAGAAGTTAGAGGTTGGATGGATATCGTTGTATGCAGAAGTTGAAGTTGATGAAGGAAAAAGTCAAAAGGTGGAGTTGGGAGGTAGCCGAGGCTAAAAGAGTGGAGAAGAGGAAAGCTCTAAAGAGAATCGAGGAGATTGACCAAAAGGAAGGGAGTTCTGTTTGGTCTTCGGTTTTATTATTGGAGAGGAAGGAAAAAAACAAGCTCTTCTAATTGATTGAGGAGGATAGGGCCTTGAGATTAAAGTGCAAATCCATATGGGTGCGAGAAGGTGATGCAAATTCCAAACTTTTCCATTGCTCGCTTAGTGCGAGGAAAACAAGGAATACCGTATAAAAATTGGAGACAGAGGATGAAGAGGAAATCACAAAGAGGACAGTTGAATTCTATGAGAAGCTATATAAATCATCGGGAGGGGAATTTTCTGGAATTGAAGGGCTCGAATGGAATCCGATTTCTACACATGCGTCCGAATCTTTGGAAAAGCCTTTTAAAGAAGATGAGATTAAAAGAGCAGTCTTCAATTGTGCGGAAATAAGGCTCCCGGCCCGGATGGATTTACGTCATCTTTTCAAGAGTGCTAGGACTTTTTGAAAGAAGATGTGGTGAAGGTGATTAAAGAGTTTTGAAGGCTTGGTATCTGATAAGCCCTTACTCAGGCAAGTGTATATTAGGAAGAAAAAACGGGCTTAGAAAGTGGGGCTCTGGTTTGGGGAGGCTGTCAATAGCTTACTGTGAAAGATTGTTAGTAGTAGTAGCTTACTAAGGAAGATTGTTAGTATTAGTCGCTTACTAAGGAAGATTGTTAGTAGTTAATGAATAAGGAAATGTATAAAAGGGAGAGAAAAATAGAAAGAAGGGATCATTGAGGATAATCAGTTTGTTGTAAAAATCTTGGAACCATTCCAAGTACGGGGAGGTAGCGGACACTCAAAGATCCGCGTTTCAGTGTACATTTGCTGTCATCAATAAAGTTCTCTAGTTGAATTCATCTTCTTTTTTCAATCTTTTTCTTGGTTTTGTTCTCGAATGTGTTCAGCTCTTATCATTTTGGTATCAGAGCATCGTTTATGGGTGATTATGGCGGCTAGGAAAACGGAGGAGAAATTTGAGGCGGTGGAGAAGGAGATTCAACAAGTCAAGGCTTCGGTGGAAAAAGAAATTGGTGAGGTAAATGAACCATAGCAGGGCTGAAATGAACCATAGCATGGCTGAAATGAACCAGAACGTGTCAGATCTGTGCCGGCTGTTGGAGGAGCAGATGCGACTGCTAACCGTGGCGGCGGCGGCGAATGGTTCTCGTTCAGGCGCCGTGAGGGTTCGGGAAGAAAAGGCAGGGTAGGGCCAAGGTTTAACTCGCGATGTTGCGAGTCTGGTGGAGGAGGACGAACGCGATCTAGGGAAGTTGGCCAAACCTAGTGTTTCTAGGGAACGGGTGCGGGGAAAATGCCGAGGTGTGGACAGCAAGAAAAGTCTGGTCGGGGAAGAAATCACGCGCGCAAGGGTACGAATCGCGAATGGAAATCGTTCCGATTTCAACCACGATGACCGGAATGGCCGACCCAGGGGCAGCGAGGCCGGCGACGGAGAAAGGGGCCTTCGTGAAGGACGGCGCGGCGATTCCCGAGTTGGTAGGACTTTCGAGGATGGTCGAGACCTGCGCGATGGCCGAAATGGTGAAGGAGGAAGAGGACCTTGTACGGTTAATGGAGGAACTAGGCCGAGCGTGGATGGCCGTTACGAGGGAATCTGATTTGGCGTGAACACCGGCAAGGAGGGTAGACGTCGTTAGGAAGAAAACGAGGTTGAGGATCCCATGGACTTCGTCGGTAACTATGGAGAGCTGTGGGGAGGTGAGGAGTTGTCACCGGTTCGGCGGAAGCAATTGGATTACCCGTTGTTCAGTGGGATTGATCCTGATGGCTGGTTATTTAGAATGGACCAATTTTTCTCCCTCAATAGGTTCTCGGAGATGGAAAAACTAATTACCGCTGGTATTGCCCTAGAAGGAGATGCACTATCGTGGTTTAAATGGCAGAATCAGCGGCGACCTTTCGTCACTTGGATTGACTTCAAGGTGGCTCTCCTACAACGTTTTCCTTCTTCTCAAGAGGGGAATTTGTGTGAGTGGCTTTTGGCGCCTAGGCAAACAAGTACGGTGGCTGAATATCGCCAGAATTTTGAGGTATCGGCTGCCGCTTTACAAGAAGTGCCGGAGGATATCCTTGAAGGCATTTTTGTGAATGGATTGAAGGCTGACATCCGGGCTGAATTATGCTTACTTAAGCTAGAGGGACTCTCTGAAATCATGGATATCGCGCAGCGAATTGAAGAGAAAAATTTGTTGCGGAGGAGGATGGGAGGGTCTCAGGTTTGGCGACCTCAAGCAGCGGGGTTCACAGCAAATCCGCCAATGGGAACCACAACGAATCAGCCTCAAGGCAGCCC